CTCCAGGCTCCGAGCCATCAGCCCAGAGCCTGACGCGGGGCTCGAACTCACGGACCGCAAGATCGTGACCTGGCTGAAGCCGGACGCTTAACCGACGGCGCCACCCAGGCGCCCCTGATTTTTATTTATTTTAGAGAGAGAGTGCGAGCAGGGGAGGGGCAGAGAGAGAGAGGGAAACACAGAATCTGAAGCAGGTTCCAGGCTCTAAGCTGTCAGCACAGAGCTGACGTGGGGCTTGAACTCCTGAACTGTGAGGTCATGACCTGAGCTGAAGTCAGATGCTTAACTGACTGAGCCACCCAGGTGCCCCAGTTGTGCACTTTAAAAGGGGGAATTTGGGGCGCCTGGGTGGCGCAGTCGGTTAGGCGTCCGACTTCAGCCAGGTCACGATCTCGCAGTCCGTGAGTTCCTGCCCCGCGTCAGGCTCTGGGCTGATGGCTCAGAGCCTGGAGCCTGTTTACGATTCTGTGTCTCCCTCTCTCTCTGCCCCTCCCCCGTTCATGCTCTGTCTCTCTCTGTCCCAAAAATAAACGTTGAAAAAAAAATTAAAAAAAAAAAAATAAATCTCTTAAAAGGGGGAATTTTGCAGTATGTGAATTATTTCTCAGAGTTTCAAGAAAGTTAGATGTGGGTTCTTGAAAAAACTGATGAAATAGTTAAGCCTTTCACGAGACTGGTCAAAGGGAAGAAAAAGTAACTTGCAAATGTCAGGAATGAAAATGAATATGACATGATTTTTCAGATATTGAAAATATAATAAGATTTTGAATACTTATGCCAGTAAGTGAAAAAAGAAAAAAAGAGAAGTGTGTAATTCTTAGAAATATAATTTATAAAACCCACACAAGAGAAATTATAATTAAAAAGCTTTTGAATAATCTGGGGAGCCTGGGTGGCTCAGTAAGTTAAGTGTCCAACTTTGGCCCAGGTCATGATCTCACAGCTCGTGGGTTCAAACCCTGTGTTGGGCTCTGGGCTGACAGCTCAGAGCCTGGAGCCTGCTTTGGATTCTGTGTCTTCGTCTCTCTCTGCCCCTCCCCCACTTAAACTGTCTCTTTCTCTCAAAAATAAACATTAAAAAAAATTTTTTTTAAGTTTGAATAATCTTATAACAAAGAAATGAATGTGTAATGAAAAATCTCAAAAATCAACTTTTAGGTTTAGAGGTCTACAAAAAATTGAAGGAATAAATAATTCCTCCCTCCCTCATTTATGAAGGTAGTATGACCTCTTGATATATGAAAGTGTAATATAAAGAGAACTGTAGACCATACTCACATACAAATAGCAATAAAGATACAGTAGTACTGAGTTGGGTTGAAAATTATGAGGTAGGGTTAACATGAGAAAATTAATTAATGCAGTTCATCACATTGTCAGATTGAAGGGAAAAATATGTAGAAAATATGTGGTGAAATTCAGTATCTGGTCATCAAGATGTTCTTAGCTAACAGAGTGTAAGTCAACTTTCTCAAGATGATATTTGATATTTTAAACCAAGCCTTATATTTAATGGTAAAACCTGGAAAGCTTTCAAGTTGCGATCAGATATAAGAAGGAGATGCAGATTGTGATCACTTCTATTTAACATAATTTATTAGTGTGGCTTGATACATAAAATAAAAATGATAAAATTGATAATGTTTAATATATAAAAGTCAGTAGTATTTCTCCATAGCAATGATAGTTAAAATACCTTTAAAGCTATAAAAAATAAACACTCAGAAATTATTCCAAAAATTAGGTATAAAGACTCTTTTTGGGGAATATATTAAAACCTTATTGTGAGATTTTAAGGAAGAGCTAAGTAATTTGAGAAAAGTACTATTCACGGATTTGAAGCTTAATTTATTTTTAATGATACCTGTTTTCTTTAGTTAATGTATTGATTCAGCGATATTGCAACCAAGATCTCAGAAGATTTATGTAGTTTTAAATAAAAAAACCTAAGTCTAAAATTTATAAGGAAAGGCAGAGGGCTAATTATTTTTGCATAGGAAAAATAACAGGATAGCAGGACTTACTAGATACTAAGATTTGTTTTGTAATTATGACATTATGGTATTAGAAGTCTAAGCAAAGAGACCAATGGAACAGAGCAGAAATCCTAGAAATAGACCAACACATATGTAGACACTTGCTTTTTGATAGGGGCACTGTGTAACAGTGATTAAAGAACTTTTTAAAGAAATGATTCCAAGATAATTGGGCTTCTATAAACTTGACTTCTTCTCAACATACACAAAAAGTCAATTCCAGGTGGATTATAGACCAAAAAGTAAAAAGTACAACTAAAAGTTTTAGAGATGAGTATAACTTTAGCCCCAGTAAGAATTATCAACAAGATACAAAAAGCACAAAAAATAAAGAAAACTGATACTACATTATATTCATCAAAAGATACCATAAGGAGTGTGGGAAAAACAAGTATAAAGTAGAAGAATATATTTACAACACACATAACCAAGGACGTATATTTAAAATAACTGTTGGGGCACCTTGGTGGCTCAGTGGGTTAAGCGTCTAACTCTTTGATTTTGGCTCAAGTCATGATCTCATGGTTTGTGAGTTGAAGCGTCCCTCATGGAGCTCTGTGCTGACAGCACGGACCCTGCTTGGAATTCTCTCTCCCTCTCTCTCTCTGTCTCTGCCCCCACTCTCCGCCAAATAAATAATTCTTTAATTTTAAAAAAGTTAAAAGTAACTGTCATTTTTAATTATTAGATTATATGTATAATTGTATGTAACATAATTAAATATTATATAAAATGAATATATATTAGAATCAAGAAAAAAATACAACATAGTAGAAAAAAGCCTTAAGTATTTTACCAAAGAAAAACTTCAAACGATTAATAAATGTATGAAATGGTAATCAATCTCATTAGGAGTCAGGAAAATGTAAATTAAAGCCAGTATGAGATTTAACTGTACTCTTGAAAGTTGTAGTAAATTTTAAAGTTTGATTATACCAGGTGAGGGTGAGGTTTTGGAGGAATGGAGGAATTGGAACTGCTGATAAAAATTTTGGTTTTAGCTAGTGATGTTGAACATATGCTTGCATATACTATTACCTAGGAGTTTTTTCCTAGATTTATACCTAGACAAACTTGTGCAAATGTGCATATTACACATTTGTAAGAATTTATGGTAGCATTGATTGTAATGGTCTAAACCTGTAATCAGCCTGACCATTTGCAGTAGCTTGGATGAGTAACTTCATGCAGTGGAATATTCTACAGCAGTGAAAATAAATGAACCATAGCCACATGTACCATCGTGGATGACTATTAAAATAAATAGGTAAATAAGTCAGACATAAAAAATACATAAAATATATTTCCATTTATAGAACATAAAAAATAAAACTGGATTGTTTAGAACACGCATTCTCAGCAGGGAGCATATTGTTCCCATTGGTGGCAAAAATTGGTTCTTTCTAGATGAAAAAATGTTCAATATTATAATGGTTTGTGGCCCTCCAAAGCTTAACCCTAGCTGGCAAAATCTTTACTTAGTATTTAATTTCTGTTTTTAATTTACTTGAGTATCACGTGAGCACCATTTACAGTGATAAGAATTCATAGAAGATAATACAAAGCACATTCACTGTCAGTGCTACAAAACTGGTGCATAGATGATTGGAGAACTTTGAAATGATTGTTTGATCTTGGAGTCATCACTAGAGGTGATCTGCATTGCATGTGCCAGTTGGTTTCATTACCTGCTTTGTGGGTATTGATACTCTGTGCTTTTGTATATGACTTTGGAATTAAATAAAAATATTCTACTTTATTTAATTGAACAAGTTATTTAACCCATTAGTTATGCCAAGTACTGAAAGGAAAATTTTGATTGTCTTAATATCTAGTAGCCAGTTAAGCTGGAAGTTTCTTTTTGGATCAAGCAAAAGTGAAAAGTTTACTAAAAATTGTAGGAAATTAATTTTTTCAATTGCTTTTTTTTTTTTGCTGGAAAAATAGATGTTAATTAAAATTTATTTGCATTGCTATTATTAATAAATGGATACACATGTAATTTGATGCATCACAATTTAAATTACATTAAAAAGCAAATACAATTATAAAGCAAAGTAAAATATTTGATAGCCTTTAAAATTTTAACTTTTAACTTAAAAAAGTTAATCATTTGTAACCCTGCATTGAATAAGAGTAGGCTTTATATACCTTATATGAAATCACAGATATACATACAGATAAACAGTGTATCTGTGATATTAAAAGTTCAAAGAGAGTGATTAGGAGAAAATCTGAAAAGGCTCCTTAGGTCAAGAAACACTGGTCTAGAAGTACACATATGTACTTATATGTACAAACTATAAAGCAGAGAAGTGATTATCATAACATTTAGGATATAGGTGCCGGGTGCTTTTAGAGTTCTGACAGTGTTTCTTGGCCTGGGTCGGTTTCTTGACCTGGGTGGTAGCCGCTCAGACTTTTACCTTGTAGTTATGCATTATTTTGTTTTGTTTTGTTTTGTTTTGTTTTGAGAGAGAGGGTGCAATGGAGTGAGAGGGAGAGAGAGAGAATCCCATGAGGGGCAGAGAGGGAGAGAGAGTGGGGTGGGGCGGGGAAGCAGGGCTCATGCTCACCTGAAGCAGGACTCAAGCTCACCTGAGGCAGGGCTCAAAGTCCCCTGAAGCAGGGCTGGAACTCTTGATGGAACTCATGAACCATGAGATCATGATGTGAGCCAAAGTCCAATGCTTAACCGACTGAGCCACCCAGGTGCCCCTATGCATTAGTCTTTATGTCCATGTTTTATGAACTTTTCTGTATGGGTATTATAGATCATAATGAAAAAAAGGTAGTTTGTAGACTTTAAAATACAGAAATGCAGAATATTACTTAGATTTTACATATCATGATTATGAACTAAATTTCCAACTTAGTAAATTTCTTAAAAAAACAGATGAACAGATGAAAAGATTTTTATGAACAAAAACAAATGCTAGGGTTTTTTTGTGTTTTGTTTTTCAGATGGGCTCAGTTTTTCATCCATCCACTAATGATCAGAGATGCAATTGACCGTGAAGTTGAAGCTGTTGATAGTGGTAAGAGAAGTGCTTTATATCTTACGACTATTTCTTGCATTGACTAGTTATTTAGCACATTTATCATTATTATCACTGGACCATTTTATCCTTTTATCATAAAGGGCAAAATTAAAATAAATGTGTCATATTCTTGAACCATTAAAATGTAATTCATTGTAGATTTGAAATAAAATAATGATAGATTTGTTTTTCAGTCTAGTTTTTGAGCATTTTACCATAGTGACTAATCTTTTGCAGGACAGTAGCTTAATTCTTTTTTTTTTTTTTTAATTTATTTATTTTTGAGAGAGGGAGAGAGTGTGACAAGGGGAGGGGCAGAGAGAGAGAGGGAGACACAGAATCTGAAGCAGGCTCCAGGCTTAGAGCAGTCAGCACAGAGCCGGATGCTGGGTTGAACCCACTTACAGCGAGATCATGACCTTGCAGAAGTCAGACGCCCAGCCAACTGAGCCACCCAGGTGCCCCAGGACAGTAGCCTAATTCTTAAAGTTAATACCAGGTGTTAAAACTTTAAAAGTTAACATAACTCTTTCTGAATGAAGAGACATTTTCTCTGAAGCTTTAAGTAACATTCTGATACTTAAATAGCTCATACTGGGGAGTGCCTGGGTGGCTTAGTCTATTAAGCTTCTGACTCTTGATTTCAGCTCATGTCATGATCTCACGGTCGTGAGATTGAGCCCCATGTCGGGCTCTGCACTGGGTATGGAGTCTGCTTAAGAGTTTCTCTTCCCCTTTTCCTCTGCCCCTCCCCCCTTCAAAATAAACAAATAAATAAATGGTTTATCCTTTGTTAGGTCTATGGCTTGAATTTTGGTAGTTCTGAAAACAGTTGTGATATATTTATGAATAAAGAAACTAAATCCCTGAATAGGAAATGCATTTAATTTTGTTAACAGTTTTTCTTGTCTTTAGGATTTAAAGAATGAAGACCATAAGGAAAAACTGTACTTATATAGGGTGAGGCTTCATTACAGAGCCATGCTATAAATACCGTTAATTACAGAGTACTGATAAATAGCACCACCATAGAATGGCCCTGCTTGCCTTATTTTAGCATTGAAAACAAATAATACTAGACTTGAGGGGACTTTCGGTTCATATAGGTTAGGCTTGGCTTGCCACAGCCTAAGAGGCAGATTTCTGTTCTTGTTTCTCTTCTTTGTCTTAATTCATTGTTGGGTTGTAATGACTTACTGCATTCATTAAGAGGAGTAAACTGTAGATGGATAGAAAGAGCCGTCTGCCTGGACGTCAGCAGATTTTTGTTTTACTTATAGAAATTTAACTGACTGTGGCCCTCAACTTATTTGTAAAAGAGGGTGGGACGGAATTTTCTTCACTTTCCTTATTTGCCTACCACACTATCTCTTTTATCATAGCCCAGATAAGTATTTGTTGAGTGGTTGATAAACCAAAATAACCAAGGAAAACTCTGAAAGTCTTTCTTACTTTTGAAGAAAGCACCTTCTGTCTTAAGTACTTTGAAGTATTTTTCTTCATACAGTTTCTAGATTGGGTTGAAGTGTTGGTGTTTACACAATCTTTAATTTGGTTTTTATAAGTTTAAGTTAGAATATATTTTATTTTGAAATATGCAGAAATATATATATGGACATATACATGTGATATATGTACATACATACACATGTACTAAGTAGTTTTGGTTTAAAATTAACTTAAGGTAAAGGCTTTGTTTTTTTGTTTTTGTTTTGTTCATTTATTTGTTTTGATGATAGGAGACCTAGTTCAATTTGTGACCTGATACAGATAGCTAGATATATGTCATTAGTCACTTAACCTTCTAAGTGTGAAGGGTTTACTTGAGATCAGGGAGATGAGGTTGCTGTTAAGTTGTAACTGGTGTAATAACTTTAGTATTCATTAACGAGTTTTGAAAGCTCAATAATCTGGTGTTGTTTTCTTCATTCAGCTGTGATAGTCTTTCTTCTATCATTCTTAACTCATTTGCATGTTTTCAGTTGCCTGCTTGCTTGGATGGCCCATTCCATGTAAGAGGAGTTGAAGGGAGATTCAACTTTCCTGGCAGATTCCTCTTCTCATTTTACTTTTATAAAAAAATTCCTCTCTACCTGCTTATAAAAAAGATTCTTTCCTGGGTTTTTAATTTATTATGTAGATCTAACTTCATTACTCTTATCACTGTGCCCTGCATTGGCAATCTGTTTTGGGCCTAATCTTTCAAAGGAGTGGTTATACAGTTAAATATTTTTTTTTTTTTTTGTCTTTTCAAATGTTTATTGGCCATTATGTAAATTGCCTACTCAAATACTTTATCTGTTTCTTTTTTTTAATCTTTTTTTTTT